CAGAACAGGATCTAGCTTGTGTAATGGTGGAAACCTCCTCACAGTGTTTTAGAGACCTTAACAATCTCAAAATTCATGAATAAGAGAGATACAGGATGAATATAGTACTGAGAGTTGGATCATTAGGCAAGTTCAGAAGGCACCTATAGAATTAGGTATCAGAGGAATCAGAGGAGGGGATGCCTGGTTTCTGAGTCTCATGTCGCTTTAGAATCATAGAATCATAGACTTGTTTGAGCTGGAATGGACCCTTGAAGGTCATCTAGTCCAACTCCCTTGCAGTGAACCAGGACAACTACAGTTTGATCAGGTGCTCAGAGTCCAGTCCAGCCTTACTCCAAATGTCTCCAGGGATAGGGCATCCACCACCTCTCCGGACAATGTGTTCCAGTGCCTAACTGCTCTTACTGTAACAAACTTCTTCCTTATATCCAGTCTAAATCCCCTACTTATAGTTTGAAACCATTTCCTCTTGTCCTGTCACAACAGACCGTGCTAAAGAGCATGTCTCCTTCTTCCTTACAACCCTCTTTTAGACACTGTCAGATCTCCCTTTAACTGGTCAGAAAACACCTTCAATAGGGTTCAGTTCCCTTTGCATTAGACATGAAGGACATGTGAACCATATCAATGTCTGACTTGTAGATGTCTGATCTGGGATAGTGCTACCAAAGCTTTTAGATCTGGCAAGATTACTGTGGAAGTGGCAGTGGACCAGAAGGGCTTCAGACGGCAAGGGTACATCACAGAGAGCAAAGGCAATTGAAGCCTTCCAGATATCTGCATGAAGCAAGTGTTTTTGCTTTTGTTTTAAAGCAGTGAAGATCCTTTTTCATTCTCAACTGCACTTCAGGTTACTAATAACTATTTAGGATCTGAGAGACCATGGGAATCTGACACCTAGAATTAGCTGAAAAGCACACTTCTATGTGGGTTTTGGTTTGACAGGTTTCAAAATCTATTTCTCTAAAATATAATACCTCCAGAGGTATCTATTTCTATTGATTGTAATAGAAACTTAGATGACAAGCACTTAGATGACAAGCTCATACTTCCTAAACTTTTAGATGTCTAAAGTTAGGTGAGAAGTCCCACCTGAGGTATTCAGTCTAATGCCACTATGGAGATATTCACTTTAATTATTTAAAGGGATTTCTGTTGTAATTAATGAAAGGGAAGGGCATGCTCAAAAGGTAATTTATCCCATCCTAGCACAGATAGGTAAGGGGAAGAAAGCATGAAGCTCTAGAAATGTCTCTCCTTTTTAGGAAGACGTTTCTAGTAGATTAAAATTTTTTAGACTGTTAAAGCTAAATCAAGTGAAACACAGTCTTAATTCCTACTTGCCATATTTGTCTCAATGCAAAAAAAAAAAAAAAAAAGAAAAGGAAAATTTAGCTAGCAGTACTGCTTTATCCTTCCAGGAATCAATTCATAACAACAAGAATTTCTGAGATACCATGGTATGAAATCATCAAAGATATGCAAAAGTAGTATGGTATTTAACCCTGCATACTCGCATAAACACTACTGAAATTTTGGTATGAGTGATAGTGCATGGAGAAGGGTTTATTCTGTGTGGGTGGACGAACAAGGCCACATCTTTGATGTGTTGTGCAGAATGACTCTTCAACATTTGGCTGTTGCCTGGATGTGAAGACAAGGAGAGAAAGAGAAAACCGAGCTGAAGATGATGCCTAGGTAGGAGCATGACTGACAGGTAGCATGATAATGTTGTCCACAGTGATTGAAAATGGAGGTAAAGGAGAGAGGAGACAGAGTTTGGAAGGAAAAATCTAAGAGCTCTGTTTTATACATTGTGAGCTTGATTTGACAGCTAGACATCCATCCATTAGGAGATGCTGGAAAGACAGGCCAAGATTTCAGTTTGGACAGGAGTCAGTTCTTTAGCAGAGAAGTTAGATCTGCAAACTGTCATGTCAGAAATGGTCGCTGAATTCATGTTGATAAACAAGGCTGCTGAGGACAAGAGTCAGATGAAGAAGTGAAGAGAATCAAGGGAAGAGACCTGTTTATGCCCCTTATGGGTGAGGAAGGGACATGGGAAAGGACAGAGTAACCATAGCTGAAGGTAAAGGGCAAATTACAGTTAAAAATACATGCAGAAGTACATGAAAATGATGATCTCTCACAGGGGAGGACATGAAGGTCAAGTGTAACACTATTCTAAAGCTGATGAGTTGATAGGCAATATAATTTAAAAAGACCCAAAAATAAAGCACTCTTGGCAGGTAGATACAAAAGGAACTTTGGGCCTGCTCAGAAGTAAGGGATTTTGGGTAAGTTATTTCTCAAAGCAATTGCTTTGTGTTCAAATTTGAAAGTTGTATACCTGCTTGTTGGGCCCTTAGGAGAAAACAGAGCCTTGCATGGAGAAGTGGGCTTGTGACGGATGACAGTCAGGCACCTGTCCAAGGAAAGGTTAATAAAAAGAAAAAAAGAAAAAAACTTTCATAAAAGAAAGTTGCCTTTTGAAACTATTAGGCAACATATGTTGTGTGAACAGGAAGTCACAGTAGAGCAATAATCCTGACAGCTGTGGAGAAACAGGAGTCTGCCGCAGGAATGAACGGCTCGAGACCTGACAAGAATGATGATGGATGCCCCGTTGGTAGTACACGAGGACAAGGCAAGAGACGTTTAAATTGGCTGAACCACAGGAACAACTTTGAGTTGGCATCGCAGTCAGACAAATGAGGCCAGTCCTAATGGCGAGAGAAATGGGAGGGGGAGCTGGAGGAAGATGGCAGCAATGCGCCCCTCCTTTCCAAGGACGAGGCCTACGTCGCCATCTCACCACGAGGTGGCTGCATTTCTCTGTGAACACCCAAGCCCTGAATGAAGCTGCATGCAAACCCCGAAGCACCATGAAAATGAGAATGAGAGCGGTGATCACTTGCAGAATTTGGCCCATATCTTTCCAAGTGTCCGAAGTGTTTTGAGGCCCTTTGTGAATAGCACTGCTTGCTCAACGTCTTGATGAAGTGTCAAGTCACTCGACAGGTCCTCACTAGTCTGTTGAGCCATGGTAGCTGTCTGTGTACCTGATAATAGCTCATGAGAAATGTAAGGAAGTGTCACATAATTTAGCTCAAAACAAAGAGGTCAAAACATAATTTTCTCCTTGCATTTTCTGTGAACTGATAGCATGTGCATGGAGTACTGCTGAGGTTCAGCTGATTCATGGAAACTTGTCAAGCAATTCAAATTTATGAGTCTGGAATATGTTTAGTGAGAGTTAAAGTGCAGTGCTTTTTAGAGACCTAGATTTGGTTATTCAAGAACCACGTTAGGTTATCCTAAAGCAAGTATTTGATTAAATAAGTCAACAAGAATGGGCCCATGAAAAACTGACAAAAAGGCCATATTCACTATTTTTTTTGCACATCCTCAGTTGACTCCAGCAGCATGGAACAAAAATTTGTTCCAAGGTGTTTGAGATGGGTATTCTTTCTTATCTAAACAGTGTTGACAATAGGAAGGATAAGAATATTTTGGATATAGTAGATCTAGATAAAATTTTCAACTCTCCTTGGATTTTTTCTGCTCTCTTCTCCGTCTTTCTCTCATCAATGTCATCCAAATTTCTAAGGGAACTGGAACTGACATTTTATTACACCATCTAGTGATACTAAAGACTCTGGAATTGCCACTACTGATGTCATCTACAGACACCATCACTTTGGATGGTAGTTTTTAAGACATTAGAATACTTCATTGACCTATTCCAGGAAAGATGTTCGTATTTCACAATGCGGTTATCAGCATTAAGCCCCACATGTCGTTCTATTCTAAAAAGTCTCCAAGTTTGATTGTAAGAATTCAAAAAGTGGATATCCCATCTTCTAATACCTTCATTAATAACCATTTTCTATTCTGATTTATCTAAGCGTGGGTTCTAAAAAATAAGATTTGATGATTTACTACTTCTTATCAGAAATGCCTTCCCATGTGAAGAACTTTCCATTTCCATCTCTACACTGACCTAGAGACAAGCTGCCCATCTGCCAGGCCTATTTTAATATTATTAGGATAAACTCATGAATTGAGATTAGAGGTCCGTACTAAAACAAAGACTTTGCTATCTTAAATATTTAATAACGAGAATCCCCGAATCCTTTACAAGTTGCCCGCATGCTTCTTAGCCCTCCATTATTTACACCATGAATAATTAGTAACAAAAATAATAAGCTATTAAAATAAACCCAAACATCCTGGATTAGATTGTCTTTCTGTACTGATAATGGAATGACTTACATTCCTTCAGGTCTGCATCGCGGTGTACAAGGATCATTCTGCACAGAAAATACATTTGCATTCTAATTTCCACTTCCTCTGAACTATCAGTTTGGAAACCTCATATTACAAAACGTTAGCCCAAGCAGAGTGATCCCTCAAACATTTCCTGGGAGCTTCCATAGTTTGACAGACTGTCTTTCAGATGCTAGATGTAGGGAAGACCACATTTATGCTGAGGTAAGCTCTTATGCAGTAGCAAAGAAGTGTACATCTCTGTGATATGTCTCTAGCATCTACTGCCATTATGTGAACATGCTGCTTTCTGCTCAATTCTGGCAAAAAGTGTTTCATCCTTCACATAGAGGAAGGATGTTTCCTTCCACTCTTTGTGGAAGGAAAATGAAGAAGCCCTTAGGTACAAATCTGTGCTTTATTCATCTCTCTGCAACTTAGGTAAGTGGCTCATGGTGAATTTGACTCAACATTTTTGGCATCTCTGAATCACGTCTTTTTTTTCAGTGCATCAAAACTGCCGGTGACAGAACATATCACCCCTTGGGGTTCTGTGCTTTAATGAAATGACAGCGTCATCTCGGCGTTCCCTTTGATGAGTTAAACACACCCAAAGCTCCATATGCCATCTTCCTATAGTATAAGTAGCAGATCATACATAAATCATTCCTCCTACCATGTCAGGCCACAGGACCAATTCTTGCTTTTCATGTTACACGGCTACTCACCGGCATTGTCTGGCTGCCATGCAAAGCATTGATAGCTGCTTGGGCCTCTGCATGCGAAGAGTATTTCACAAATGCACACCCTAGAAAAAGAAAAAGAAGAACAGACCATTTAAATATTTTATCCTGTCCTCAGAACTGGTGATAGAGAAGGAGTGCAGAAAGCATAACAAGCAAACTGGTTATTCCTTCCCAAAGTCCAGTCATAGGCAGTTCAAGGATTTCTTGAGGCAAAGCTAGATCAAGAAGTTCCATGCTGCTTGCATATAATTTGTGTGGACACAAACTTAGAGAGAACCTTCTGAAACCACTTATCTTTTGACCTTTATAGCTTCCCATGCAAGCGTTGCACAATTTTATAATTTACTGTGTGAAAATGACTTTCCTTTTATTTGTATTAAACATACTGTGGAATGCTCCTCTCTCTGGTGTTCTGGAAAACAGTGAGGAATTGAACAAAAGTAAGTAGAAAGCTTCACATTCCTGTTACAAGTCACCACAGGCCAACTGTAGGGAAAGCATTCAACTTGCTTCAAATACACAAGGTATCTGTCTTACATCACTGCTTGGTAGAAGTCCATTACAGAGGCTGCTCAAAGCTTGTCCTGGCTCCAAGCAACTTTGGTCTGACAAAGCATGACACACCTTCTGATAAACAAATGGAAATGGAATAGGTATGCATGTGATGACTGCCATCTTTCCACCACTGAAACCTGAATTTTACAGTGAATATTATATCATAAGCTACTTTACCAGTAGTTCTATGGGTGCTTTCCTGTACACATCAGAGAAGTCTGGGCAGTGCTCCTCTGGCCTGCACTGCCCTGTGAAGAATCTCACACTGTCTGAACTCTTACAAAAGATTCCAGGGAAGAAAGGTGCATTTATGAATATATGCTAGAGTGCAGAAATGATCAACACTTCAAAGGGTCACATGCATCACAAGAGTGGGGGAAAGTATTACTAACACTCTTAGCTACAAGCAAATTGACTCAGAGGGAGGAAGAGTAATTTCCATATGCTAAGGAGGATTTTGGAACAGATTGGAAGAGATCTGAGAAGTTCTGGCTTCCATCCCCTTTCATTACTATTAAAGACTCTTGAGCTTTTAATCAATTTGCAAAGCCCTAGTTGTTTCCCTGAAGGAGTGCAGAACACTCATGAGGGATGCCGGCCCTGACAACAGGACAGCTGTCCTTCATTTCCTTTGTAGAATCTTTAGAAGGTCAACAAACCATCACGGATCCATGCAGTGCATGGTGGGAACTGCAGCACTACAATACCTCACTTACAAAAGTAGAAGGATGAGCCCCGAAGGTGTCTATAATCATCACTACAGGCTGGCAGAAGTGAAATCAAAGAAAGCAATGATAGTCCCCTTCTAAAAAGAACACATACGTACGCAATCAGCTACTGGTTAGGATCCCTTCACTTTGCATTCCCTCACACCCCTGTGCTCAGACTGTATTTCAGGAAAAGCATAATGATTGTTGCTAATAGTAGGATCTAATTTACAAGGAGCTGAGAGGAGACAATCACAGGAAAATGAGATAGATAAACTTCAGCTAGAAACAATGGAGATCAATTATGACATAATCGTAGCTCAGCATTCCCAGGCTCCTGAGATTCTGTGCCTTCCTCTTCATTAATCAGAGATAATCCAGAATTAGGGTGTTTAATTATTTGCACAGATTCTTTTGTACTTTATGCCTCTAAAAATAAGATGCTGATTAGCAAATATACAAAGGCTTTCCAGATTCAGTTACTCACTGCATTTAGAGGAGGATTTTTGGCTACAGTGTTGCTGTCATGTTGAGGGCTTCTCTCTCTTCAGGTGAAATTCACCTCTGTGCTGAGGAGCCTGATGAATGAGTGGAGCTGGATAAAGGTGGAAATGAAGGGAGCAGGAAGCATTTGTCTTATTTAATGCCTTATATGCTAACGAGAGTCCTCCACTGCTTTTTCCTACTGCTTCCTGCTTGGATTTTGAGCCAGAAGAACAAATGAAAACTCAGTTTTCACCTATGTATAATGTCAAAGAAACATTTTGTTTCCTTTTTATGTTCAACGGGATGGCTTTTGTACACAACATGAAATGTGTACACAATCATCTTTCTGTCCTTTGTCACCAGGATTATGCCCAGGATCTGATGAGCTGAGAACATGAGTCACAGCACTCCTCAAAACAATGGTGTCCTTGTGACAGGAGCAGTTCTGGAGTTAGAAGGGATTTTGACATGCAGAGAGATATATAACCAGGCTGAGCAGGGAGATACATGTGCACAGATGTTGATTTTTGTTGTTGTTGTTGTTTTGTTTTGTTTTTCTTTTTCTGTCCTTATTTCAAGATTTTAGAGCTGGAAGGGCTGCTCTGACTGTCTTGTCAGCTCTCCTGCAAGAAAAGAGGAGACTGCAGAGTCAGGGCCTAAGGTTATCATTGGAGAAGGTGTTAGACTCCACTTGCAGGACTTCTGGTGTAATGGGAAGTCTTTGCTTTCTGAGATACTAAAATAGACAACTGCTGAATTAGAAAATAAAAATAAAACAAATTATATAGGAAAACAACAAGGAGGGTATCCAGAGAGCAGCAACACAGACCCTATGGGTCCTGCTGGATTGTTAAACTGGATCTAATCTCACTGTGGCTTTCACATCTGTGTAATCCTGTGGTCCTGTATGCCCACTGGTGAGCTTCACCAGATTGTCGTAGGGAAGCTCATTCTTTTCCTACCTCTCCCAGCACAGACATTCTGCCCTTCCTTCGGCAGAAAAATGCCCTAGTCACCGTTCTTCTGACACCTGCTTGCGTGCTTCAGCAGCAACTGTCGCTGTCTGGCCCTGGGTGCAGATGTCCACAGGCCCTCATACAGGGCATGCCTCACGGCTCCAGACATCCACCCATGGATTCAGGCAAGGCTGAAAGGGCTTTCTGGCTGTGACTGAGCTGTGGTGGTATTCTCTGGGAAGCTGAAATTCAAAGTATTGTATCGAAGTATCTGGAGGACTAGGAAGTTCACTACAGGGATATGTGGTGAAGATTCATATAATGGGTTTGCTAGGGCCAGAGTGATCTGATTGCTATCTGCCTAAAACTCAGTTTGGGTGGAATTTACACCTTATCGGTCTTGCCCAAAATAAATATCTCACAAGTATATGTGTCACACCGGTTTCTAGCAGATGGAAGACATTACAGACTGGGAATAACTTTGTGGGAGTTGTGGCTCGCCTGACTGTCTCCTAAAATAAGGGCACTATCCTTAAGTTTTCTACAGGATTGAATGCTCTTTGTGTGTATGTATCTGTGTGTGTGTGTAAATTAGAAGCTTCACATTCTCAGTAAATAGCACCAGCAAATGGAAGCTGGAGCCTCTGTCAAGGCTCAGTATTGATCCTGAACAGCTCAGTGAAATCAAGCCTGAGACTGCAGCCTGCTAGCACTAATAATTAAACTGGTTAGCAATATGGAGCTGCCACTCAGATTTGGACTTATAATGAAATTGTTTAAGAAAAAAAGAGAAAGAAAGAGCAGGAATGAATACAAGTCTGTGGTTTGGATTTTCTTTGAAACCTTTTTCTTACAGAACTCACACATTATTGCCTTTATTATTACTCTGTTTAACTCCTTTGTCATTAGATTTTGTTCTGTACAAATCCATGTAGAGGTGGATTTTTTACTTTATTTTATTTTATTTTATTTTATTTGGCTTTTACCCAATTCGCTGATTTCTTCAGTGACAGGAATGCTGAAATATCAGCTACTGAGCAATGGTTGGAGCTCTTCTTGGTGAACCAAGCCTTTGGGTCTCATGAAGTTAAAGTAGCAATAAAATTTAAGAAAGATGTCCACAGTTTATTTTCAGCCATTTATATAAGGAAGATTGGGCTTTGCTGACTTACATCAAAATATTGCCCTATAATGCCAGAGTGAAATCATTTTGGGCCACCAGTGACTTTACAGAACAGCAATATCTTTCTCCAGTGTATCACTGTGATTTGGATTTCTTGCCTTTCCATTGCAAAAAAACGCTGGTTGATTTTGTCACATGTCAAAATATCTAGTGAGATATGAACTGCATCAGCGAGAGTGGTCTCTTCCCTGGTGCTGCATGTTCCAGCACAGTTTATGATGTATTATAAGCAGATCAATATTTAATGGACACATTATACTGTCAAGAGAAGAGGGCTTCCTATTCAAATTGAAGTAACTTTGTCTAGAAAGTGTCAGGGGAAAAAAATGACCCTCAGATTCAACAGAGAAGTCCCATTCTCCCACCTGGACTCTAGAAAAGATTCCTTGTACTGCCCAGGAATGGGAGATTCTTAAAGGTGACAAAAGAAGGTAAGCTTTGCAATTAAGCATTGATGTATTTCAAACAGTAACTGCCTTCTAACTGTGTTGTTTACATCACATCCTGTACCCTTGCAATTTTGATTGCTGGTTGATGTATGTCTGTGCACAGACCAACTAAAGAAGGGGAAGACCTGGGACCAGTGCATGAGGAATAAGCAAAGACAGTGGTGGAAAAAAAGAATGAGCCTGTTCAATGGGGAAAGAAACTCCCAGCCTTCCTGGGATGGGAAGAGCCTGTCTTAAGCACGTATTGTTTTCAGAGGGAAGGCTCTGTCCTCAGAGGAAACAGGAATAGGCAACAGTGTGCACATGGAAAGACAGTTTGTTGTGGAGGGGGATATCCTTACATGCAATTGGCTCTTTATTCCCACACATAAGCAGACAGAAAACAGCAAAGAAATGGCCTCCTTTGGCATATATGACCCTTTCTAAGATATGTTGTCCTTGAAGCCATCTTGTGACTTTGTTGTGCCAGAGTATTATACATACACTAAGACCTAGTCTATCTTGAAGCTAAGAACACAGTGTGCCACAAGCCATCATCTTACCTTTGCTGTTTCCATCGGGTCCCCGAAGGATTGTGCACTCCTCAATGTTGCCAAATGCCTCGAATAGCCTGCGCACATCATCTTCTGACTGCTGCTTATTAAGCATGCCCACAAAGAGTTTTCTGTCTTCTGGAACAAAATAAAGAGATGCTTACCATATTTCAGAAGGGATTTGAAAGCCAAGATAGCTCAGTATCACATGCAAAAGAAACAGTGAATTCATTGAGGTGACATATTTCAGAAGCTGTAAGTCATTTCAGGTGCTTGGCTCGAAACACCTTAATAATATCCGACTCTCAGTGAGTACTTGAAAATAATTTGACAATTTCAATGAAAGAAAAAAATCTCCCAAACCCAGAAACATCTAAAATGTTTTAACTGCTTCTCGAAATCCAGGCATCAAAGTCTTCTAAATTAGCTTTTTGTGATCAATTTTTGCAGTAAATGAAATGACAATATTGCTCAGACTGCCATCCAAGAGAAACGTGGATAAAGATAGCATACAGAAATAAAGTCCAATTGAAAAATAACGTAAGTTAGTAGCCTTCACAATACTAAATAAGTTGCAGGAAAAAAAAAAAAAAAAAAAAAAAGAAAAAGTTTACCATAAGCTGTTTTAAATGAGGATATAACAGAAGCCATGGTTTGTAAATTGAGATTTGTCATCCATATCCACTCATTGCTATATATCTTCAAGTCTGGAATATTTTTTAAGTTCACTTAAAATAAGCCCAAAGTTTTTGAAACATATATTGTTTCTTGAAACATGAAGTTAACTTATATGAATGCTTAACATCTGAGATGGCTTAAGAAAGGTGCTATTTCATGTCAAAGCAGGATGTGGTCTACTGGCAGATATTGTATCTTGAATGAAGAAGACTATTTATACTTGGACTTATACCAAGAATGGAGAGCTGCAGTCCACAACATAACACACTGAGAAAATACCCTCGGAAACAGACCAGACCACTGAGTACTGAGTTAGTAGAAAGATCTCAGGGATCACCGGGTGATACATCTGAGTCAGGTTTGTATTCAGAGATCAGTACCATTACACCATGTACGGAAAAACAAAAAAAGAAATGTAGGTAGTTCATGCCATGTATGTAAACAGGCCCTTTGCAACTGATTCATGAACATCTCATTTATCATTCATTAAACAGTATGTAAATGAGTGATTCAAGATTTTTTTTTCCCGGAACACTTTACAGAGCAGATGTAACCAATTTGAATAAATATATGTAAATAAATAAATAAATAAATGCATTGGTTTATTTGTTTATTTATTTTCAAATGCATATATTAACCTAAGGCTGAACAAAACATTGGTTTGCAACAACTCTTTTCTGGCTGAGTAATTGAGTGATTTATGTCACTTTTGTTCACCAAGAAATCATCGGTGTAGGCAATCTGTTCTGCTTCAACCAGTGTTTGATCAAAATTCCCCTCTCCAAGATGCACCTGCAAATTGGCAAATTACTCTACAGCCTTGGGCGAGGATAATTTTTCATGCAGTTGATATCTACTGAGGATATTAGGAGTTTTCAGTCCTGCAGTGGAGTTATCCATGTGAACAAAAAGTGTGCTACCCACAGAAAATGAGGAGATACGTTGCTTTCAGTAAGGCTACAGAAATGGTAGGAAAAATAGGTTAAGGAGGATATGTGTGTTTCTGATAGAAGATAAAAAACAGGGCTAACCTTTCAATAGATACGTTAAAAACAACAAATACGCTTTATGTTGGATTTGGTAAGCTAAAAGGAGCTCAGTGCCTGCTGGCAGCACAAAGTTGAGGCCTTAACAATGCACAAAACCCTTATCAGCACTGTGTAGTCTATACTCACCACAAGACAAGATGCTTTGGACAACCAAAATGTTCATTTTCTGGGTGGATACATCAAGGAGGGAAAATGGCATTGGCTCAGTGAACGGATTGTGAACCACAGGAATTGCATCTGGGGAACTTATATAATCACAAGATTTTTTCCCCAAAACATACTTGTCAGATATTTTTTTAATCAGAATTTTTGGAAATGATTTGAGTAATTTCAATCCAGTAATGCCAAAGAATGATCTTAAAAGTCCAAAGGTCCCTACAAATCACAGTCCTTATGGACCTGAGCGACCACTTTGGCTTCCTTGGGCCTGTGATGGACCAATGACATTTCTCAGTCAAGTAACCAAGCCGTGGAGAGACAGGTGTGAATTTTGCTTTAGATATATCTCCCCTACTTGACCTAATTACTGTTTTCATTGAATACCTTGCAGGTCCCAGTAGAAACCACTTTGCTTGGTGATTAAACTGATGTGCAAAAGAGAGGTATAATGCCTTAGAAAGGCAATAACTAAAGCTGAGTGTGTGCTCTGGGGCTGTCTTTAGACTGGGTAAGGACAAAAGCCAGGAAAAAGCCTGGCTCCAAAGATTGTCCAGATGATTGGGGAAAGCCCACCTGCAAAGTGAACAGAGCTGTCCTGGAAATGGGAGACATTTTAGGGAGGGAGCCAAGTTTTGGGAGAAAACTGGGAACTCTACTGGCAAAGGCTTTGCCTAGGAAGTCTGTGTCTAGTAAATACTTCCATCACAGAAGAAGTGTCTGCTATGCTGTACACTGTTTCCCGTTTGAAATAAGCTGCATCAGCAAAAGCTCTCCTATAGCTGTGTAACTGTATTTTCACCAGGCTTTTTGCTAATATAAATGTATCATTAAAAAAAAATCACATCCTTCCTCTGTCAGCAGAACTCTCTAGTGTGCAACTGGCCTGAAACTGCCTTGTATGGCTTAGTTTATGCAAAGCTTAAAACAGGTGTGTTAGGAAACATTTAATTTTACGTTTTATTTTGTTTTATTTTAGCCCTGTTCTCCATATCTGTGCTGGACGCTGAGAGGACTGATGCCTGTCCCCACAGGCAGGTGGCAGAAGATGTGGTGCTTTTGGGAGCTACACACAAGTGGCCATCAGACCACCAGTAATAGGCTTTGCTGAGGGTGAAGACTACCTTCCCTAGGCACTGTTAGTCCAGCTACTCCAGAGGAGGTGACCTAAAGGGGTCTCTCAAGGCCAGCCAGTGCTCAGCACCATCTGGGCATCACCCTCAGCCCAGTTTCCAAATCATCACCATCTCTCCCTCCTGAAAAACTGTACCTTGGTTTGTCAGGGGAATCGTCTGTCACATCTGCCATCTCAGAAATCTACACAATCACACACTTGGCTGATAAAAAATGAGTCCGTTTTACTTTTTTTTTTTTTTTTTTTTTTTTTTTTTGTGATGAGGCTCTTCTAACAAAGTGCTGCATTTACCTTTCACATCCCAGCTCAGCAGTGCATTTTAACAATGTCCCTTGCACATCTCAAGTGGAAAGAGAGAGAGAAGGGGCCAGCAGCTGGGACCATTCAGCGCATTCCCAATCTTGGCTAATGAATTTATCCCCTAATGGGCTTGTGTGAACCTCTCACACCCTGAGTGCTCCCATGCACTGCTCTGCCAAGGCCCAGACAAAAAGCCAACATGCTGTGCACTGTGGCAACTACTTCTGCTTTGTAAATGTGTCTGAGCAGGGTCACGAGGCTGCTGGTGTGAAATGAGGTGAGGATGTGCAGGAGTCAGCAGGACTTGTCTGAGCACATGTGCACACTGCAGATGCTCCCCACCAAACTTTTCCAGTGTCCTTGCTTAGACTGTGCTCAGACCATACTCAGACCAGTTTATATATTACAGAAAACAGAGGTTTATGCTGTAGAGAAGCCTGAAACAGTTACCTAATCAAGCTGTCTCCAAGCTCTGTAGGATGCAGGACCACTCTTACAACCCCAATGAATCCCAGACTTCTTCCTTTTTCAGCAAGGAACATCCCAAACCTATGTAATATCAGGGTCCTAAATTTTTCAAGGTAGTGAAGAAATCTCACTGGCCTCATAGGAGGGGCAGATAGAAGCAGTTTGAGCAGTCACTCTGCCCTGCAGTGCAGATGTTCAGTGGGATATCCATGTAAGCCTCTTCTCCCCACATTTTTATTTCACTATTGTTAACCCCATTATTGGCCTTTCCCTGTAACCTGAATCCATCATGTCTGGTTGACCCATGGAAATAAACAGGGATGGTTATTCCTTTGTGCTATGGCTCTCTGAAGGGCCAAAATTTTTGCTGATTTGCCTCAAGACCGTAACAGTGAGTGGCCTGAGACACTTCTGTAATGTCAGAAATTAAGTTCATCTTAAGTTGACCCCCTTTTGTTATCTACAAAGCATGCTGACCAATGGAGCCAGCATTCCCTGTTCCTCCCAGGAAAAGAGACAGAGAAAGGCTATGGTAATCATGGAATTTCAGAGGTGACCCCTTGATAACACTTCCAATGCTCCCACAAAACGAGGCTCCTCTCTTTCTAGACTTGAGGCTTGCTTGAGTTGGGAAAAACAGGCTGCAAGATACAGTGCTGAAGAGAAAATTCAGAGAAATATATAGTGTCTATAAATCTCCCCAGCTGTATTTATATAAAGTCTCAACACCTTCCCCAGTGCAAATAGGGGTTAAATTATTCCCTGTTCTATTTGTATTTAAATGTTATGTTTTTATGATAAGCGTAAGGCAGAGGTGTCAGACAGGCCCAGGCGAAGGAGACGGCACGTGCGAAAGGTGAAATAATAGAGCATTGCAAACCAAGTGCCAAGAGGAGATGGGAAGGGGGGACACGGGAGTGAGAGGGAGAAGGGGGAGGATAGTCACTAATTAAAGAGACAGAAGGGACAATGAGATGCAGGATGTTTGACCCTCTGCAGAGCAAAAGGACAAGAACAAGAATCACTGCAATTGTGGAGGGACTGGGGGAAAATTAGGGTCATTCACAGAGAGACATGACACAGGTTTGTGTTTATCCAGATAGCTCTTGCTAATGTATGTGTGTGCGTGGGGGTGCATTTAGATAAGAGCGTATAAATACACTTGTGTTCTCCTATTCCTCATGCAAAACAAAGAGGTTGAATCCTTGTATCAGAAAAGCATCAGCCAGCTTTACCATCAAGAACATTACATCCAAGGCCTTGGAAATAAAGAGAGACAGATCTACCACCTTCATGGCCCAGACTAATCAGGAGGGCGAACCAGAAGATCACTACAGTCCCTTCTAACC